ATGTTTATAATTTGTTGTTATGTTGGCATAGCAACTTCCTAGTTGAAGTCTAAAGAAATGTTCTTTTGTAAAGTTTGATTATGTTTTCTGTTTTAAAGTTATCAAAATAAAGTATTGTTTATACAAGTTATATTAATTAATAAAGTTTAAAGGTTTAACCTCAACAGTGATTCAAAATGGCTGTTTTAATAGGTAGGCATTGATCATATGTCCTCTCATATTACCATTGGATAGACAAGTAGATAGTTCTAACAATAAAGCGGACCATCATACGGAAGTATTATGACACCAGTTATATGACTAAGCTTCTCTCACCCCTATCAATTACAGGTCGCTTAAAACACACTGTGTCTAGTGTTCATCTATATATAGGGTGAGGCAATGAGAACGCCACAATTTGTTTTAGCTGTCACATGTTAATTGTTTGCAACAACGAATGATCAGCTGTGCTTATATCATCAATTCAACTATGCCTTTTTAGTAAATATTATGCCTGAGGCTAATAACACTGAGATTTTGATGTGGAAACCTATTTTAAAAATAGTGATTCTTGTTCAAAAACCCAGAGATTGTTTGGACAACATTCCATCCTTGGTCAACATGGTGCTGATCCAGATTGGAAAACAATGGTGAACTTGGTAAAATTATTTAGGTTAAACGCTTAAACCTTAAAAATAATCGGTGGGTCCCACAAAACTCTTCGTACACAATCAAATGTTGAAAGAGTGCGAGTCGCAGTAACTCAAAGTCCAAAGGGATTTGCCAGGAAGCCTTTGTTGTTGAAAGCTTTACACTGACTCCTTTTTTTTGGGGGGGGGGAGTGATTGTTCTAATAAGCTACTTGAAGTTCGAGGTTTTACAAAGTAGCCCCACAGATTTGCTTGGACAGCTAAGAATCGTCCAAAAACTAAAGTGAACCTGAAGAAATGCTGGAGAAGTATTTGATGGAGTTTTCAAGTGCCTTAAAAAGGAATGTTAAATATGACAAGGACGTCACTTGCAGGATAGAAATAGAAAAATGACTTTGTTAAGTTAAAATGGCAAAAGATAAGCTGTGTTTTGATGTGCTATTTATATCTATAGGGTGAATATTATTGTGTTTGTACAGCTTATAGATTGGGGTGCTTTCATTGCCCCACCCTGTATATAAAATCCAATGTATGTTTGTTTGTTTGTCCTTTATGGACTCCGAAACCGATTGACAGATTGTAATGAAACTTTCAGGCATTATTAAGCATTATGCAAGGATGGTTTGTGTAAAGTTTGGTGCAGATCCGTCAAAAGAGCTCCGCCCCAGTGGCTCTGGAGTTTCCCATGTTAACCTTATCAGTACTCATATTTAAATGGAATTAATAGCTATTTACATTACAAGTGTAGTAAGAGCGATTTTACTTCACGCAGGTGAATGTTGTGCAACGAGCGGAAGCGAGTTGCATAATTCACCTAAGCGTGATGTATACAACTTCCTTACTTCTCGAGTGATGTAAAGTTGAAAAAAAACTCACTCGGTGATGTAATGAAACCCATTTAAATAACATTGAGTGGATAACTTAAAAAATATACCTCTATGGAGCCAACGACGTTCAACACTAGAAATCAGCTGTGTGTTTGAATTTTATTGTCATGCTTTGAAGAATTTTCCTAACCTAGCTTTTGTTTGTAAATGAACGTTACTTGTAAGAATATGAGTGAAATTGATAATGAAGCATATTGCTCGTAACCTCCTGAATATTGTCGGGTCAGGTAAAATCTTGTACGTTACACGTTACGCAAGAGCGTGTTTACATCACTTCGGTGAATTATGCAACTCGCCTTCGCTCGTTGCACAACATTCACCTGCGTGATGTAAAAACGCTCTTACTACACTTGTAATGTAAATAGCTATTACGTTAAGCACTCAATGTTATTTAAATGGGTTTCTTTACATCACCGAGTGAGTTTTTGATACTTTACACCACTCGAGAAGTAAGGAAGTTGTATACATCACGCTTGGGATATGGAAGTTTAACATGGCGGGTTAGGTAAAAAATCTTAACAGCTGGTTCAACTAAACAATTTGATTCTGTGATATTTAATAGCATTAAAAAGTTAATAGGTTTACCAACAGTGTGCAGCACCATTATTTTTTTTAATTTATGACAACAGCTAATTTGCAACCAAAAGGTGAGTGAGCGTACGAACGAACTTCAACCTGGAGGCGAGTTAGCGTAGCGAACGAGCTAACCTGAAGGCAAGTGAGCGCAGCAAACGAGCTCCAACCGAAAGGTGAGTGAGCGTAGCGAACGAACTTCAACCAGGACTTGATTGAGCCATGCGAACGAGCTCATCTTGAAAATGAACGAGCATTTGACATAAAACCACAGGACCATAGGACAGGATGATGTCTACCGGGCCAGCTAGTATCTATATAAAACCAATGAATACACACCTGATCAAACGCAGAGTTTAGTAAATCTTACTCAATCTATTTTCAAGTTAACATATTCAAAAGACCAATGAATGGTTGCCTTGGAACACTTCATATTGGAGATTAACAGCTGCAATTACAGCTATAGGCTACAAACTAAAGCGTTAACATTCGCATGAGCGATGCTAATCTGCACGAATGATTGTGACCTTTGTGTGTTATATCTCCCACACCACGGGTAGGTAAGTATTGCTGTATATAGCGCTTCATCACTGTCTGCTAGTGCCAGGGTGGGGAATGTCACTTAGTGGGGGCCAGAATATTAATATACAACGAAAGTGTAGCAGTTTAGTTGACTTGTCACAAAACAAAACATAAAGAATCTTTCAATGTGAAACTGAAATCATGAAAATAAGATGTTTTAGAACCCCCTGAGAGCTCAAATGCTACAGTTTAAACCTATTAACAAAAACTAGCCTATTTATATTCAATGGTAGACAAAGTATTTTTGCAATCAGCTACTCAAGCTACTACTTCTTTCCATCATCACATTTACATAAGTACCCTAACTGTGTTACTCTCAATTCCGTCATCCACTGTTGCAGCATACAGTATGCGATCCACACATCCTTGACTGTAGCACCCCGGAGATCTGCAGAAACTGTTCATAATTACCACTGATGGCTCGAGATTGGACCAACGACTCACCATAACGAAACGAACCGAGGTAATCCATCCACGTCTGTCTATTTGCATGTGAAATGACAGGGAAAGAGTAGCAATCAGGCCTTGCGCAACGGTGGTCTGTATCTGTGAGCTATGCTACTTCTTTATCACTGACCTTGCCGTCGTAACCCCCACAAGGAGCGGCAGATAAGCTTGTAGAGCTGCGGAATTCCGCAACTATGTTGAACCGTAATGATCGGCGTCGCCAAAGGAGCCGTAGCGACTGTTTTGGTTATCTTTACGTCCCTTTGATTCCCCCCTGTTTCTACCATGTCGAATAAATCGCGCTAATTCAACGTCTTGTCTATGTTGACGCTTGATAACGCAAGGTTCAGTAGGTCGAAGGAACAGGATGGCTCAAGTTTGCTAGGTTACCGCAGGGTGGGAAACATCCGGGAGAAAACAATATTTTTCCTTGGTTTTTCATGTGTGTCTTACGTGTATCGTCTCGCTAAGAAATGTCGTCTTTAACGATTTTTTTCAAACAATTACGTACTCTTTGTACTTAATATTCCTTTGTAGTATCAGGAGATGGAGGATTGTACGTTTCACTTAGTAAAATGCTTAAGATTGAACAAAGTTTCGTATTAGGCACAGTGAACTGTCCAGGAATGAAGAAATTAATGCAATTGCGTTTGGTGGGGAAATCAGCTACTGAATAACCCATTAAAACGTATCTGAAATACACAAATGGTATATTTTGTTCATACATACCTTGACTCATACTGTATTCCCTTGAATTTCAAATAGTTTACCGAAAATTGCAACGAGTCTCGTGTGACGTTTATCCCTACTACTGTGGTTAATGTGTTTATGTTATGTGTCAGCATGATTTGTAAATTTCACACCCTTGTGAGATCAAATGAATCCTCACATTGTTGTAAGGTGATGTTTCCAATGTAGGGAAAGATCACTGAAATTACCAACAGCTTCAAGAGGGCTTCATCTACTGGAACATGGCATTATGCTGCACATTTCCATTAGTTATTGATGGACTTTAACCCCTAGCCTGTAGAACGTAAACCACTCTTTCCATTATTCCAGCCACGCCCAAATATGAGATGATCCGTCCCCGGCCTTGCGATGTTACAAGTACATGTTTCACCCTTCTCAGCAATGCAGCATACAAGGCCAGACAAGCGGCTTGTCAAGGTGTTATCACCTCGCATCTCTACCAACTACCCATCAGATAACAAGACCATGTGTCAAATTGTGTTTTTATTCCGACCACTCCATGTAATTTCATGATAAGATCGGACTAATGATGCATTATAGTTGTCATCAGACCTGAAATAAGTACAAGAGAAGATGGATATGGGGAAGAGGTGCGTTACGAAATTGAAGGAGATATTAAAGTAAATGCGATAATTTGCATTTGGATTTTAGCACATTATGTTACGGAAAGTTTATTTCTCTCCTAAACCATTTGTCCGAAACCACCTATTAGCTTGTGTAGTAATTTGAGAGATAAAAAAAAAATACTTCGCAGCAAAAATGTTAAAACTTACAAACTCATTCAAGAAATGTATTAAAATATTTTACTCCTTAGGTCAACCTAAAGAGTAAATGTGGTTGGGAAAAGATTGTCTTCATAAAAATAACAATCACATCTTTGGGTATAATTTCTTATCAATAATACTTATTTAGGCATACAAAATATATTGTCATATCCAACACATCATTGTACAAGCTCCTTCCAAATTATGTATATTCTACTTCAAAAACCTTTACAAAAGACAATTGATTTAACTATACCCAAAAAAATCAAACTTCACTCAAACCTACTAACTAATCTACTGACAAAAACACTATAAATAAATGGAAATAAACACAACGAAATGAATTTTTCTTACATTTTGTCTATAAATAACATCCAAAGTGTAACAACGCAAACTGAGACAAGTAACTCATATTGTGTCAAGTCAAATCTTGGTGACTTTGTCTCTAACGATCACAGGGTTGTTCCTTCGTATTTCCTCGGCACCAAGAGCCCGATAGTCGAAGGTACAAGAATGATCTTCGGAATATCTGTGGACGCCACAATACACACCTCCACATCGACATGCGAACCCTGTCAAACCAACCTTCTTCTTACACGAGGAACATCGATTTCTCTTATGCTTTTCATCGGCCTTACAATCACCAGAGTCAGGAGATAGTTGGGGATTCTCGTTAGGTTTTGAAGAGCAATTCTGTTCTGCGTTGCTTGAAGGATGATATATCCTAGTACCGGACGAGTTAGGCTGCTGTTGCTTCTTCTTTAGAGCTTCCTTGAAACATACTGAGCACAATCCGTCAGTAGAGGAACTGCCGTAGAAGCCACATCCACCGCGGCACAGTGTCTGCAAAGAAGTTGCCTCCCGCTCCATCTTATATACGAACTTCAAATCTAGGAGAAAAGTCAATTTAGAAAGTCAACTGTTCACTTAATGTGTTTCCTATGTAATTAGAACTACTGTGTGTGGCAGTTGAATTAACGAATGATAAGACAGTGTATGGTGTATGTAAAACCCTTAATTGAGGTGAAATATTACTTACTTATTGGAACATGCTTCGATGTAACTGAACGGATCCGATTTTACAAATTTAAAAGGTAAACACAGTTCCAATGTTGATGTGCGACGAATAAAAATGATTTTGCAACAAAATGACTCACATGATGATTTAGATTGGTCAGCTGTTGAGAATTGAAATAATCTATTTATTCTTCCCATAGAGGAACATGATTATTTTAAATGACACATTAAACATGGTTTATGTAATTTGTTACATGCAAATCCACAGAGAAGAAATACAAAAGTTTACTATTAATCTGCATTACAGCGCAAATAATGTTATGTAATTAAATCTATCTGCAATGGGGGTTTTCGGATAAAGCTCTAAAGATATTTATATACTAATATAACGATTCGATTCGATTGAATATAATGTACAAACATCTCTTTTGCTGTAATGTTCTCAGTCTCTATATTGAATATGATTTTTTATCATAATATTATGCACATATCTAGCAAAATAAATTTGCTCTTTTACTAATTAACAATTGTTGTTAAAATATAACATAACTTGTTTGTGGTTTTAAGTTTTTTTAACAATGCACTTTGACTAAATATGAGATATGTATCCAACTCAGGAACAAGTGTAGACTTATAGACTAAAATTACAGAAATACTTATAAATATACTTTTTGTACATTCAATCCAAGGCAAACAACAATGGTTTCATAAAAATCATACAAATAATATTTATTGGCGTGGACAACTTCCCGGCTGGCTGGATTTAAGTAGATCACCATTTGAATTATGTTCCTTTGATTCCATAACTATGTAAAATAGTCCAATTACGTGCATGAACTAAATTAAAAATTATGTTCTTGAAACGCATGCGGCATATCATAGGGGACAATTTTAACGCATATTCACGGGAAGGCCTTCTCGCCGTTAACTTCAAACATATTGTAGACCACTTGATTACATCCATAAACAGTGAATTGTGTAAAATATTAATTTATTCATAACTGCTACCATTCAGAGAGGCCTGGTTGTAATAAGTAGCGTATTTCCGTGTAACTGGTTGTCGTTGTAACCTATTATTGTCCACTTGAGGGCGATTCGGTTGCAAGGTACGTGTTATACATCAGATTAGCAACGCTACAGTGGCGGTTTGCTTTGACGGAACGGAAACTTACGGTCTGACTTGTTTATATGTGTTGTGTGTACGTTTAATACAAACATTTGTCAGTAGTCTTTAATATATGAGCGAATATGTACACTAATGTGTGAATTTACAATTGACTTGGGCAAATCTAAACTGCGTGTTACATAATATATCATAGATTAAACACACTCACTACTAGACTACTTACCATTGACAACACCGAATGACAATTTGAAGGTGAATTTCCGGTTGTGTGGGACTTTATGTTTAACTATGGATTAACCAAGTATGTACAACTATTTTGTAAAGCATTGCTCGTACTTTCATGATCGTAACCAAAAACTAGGTAAATAGCGTTTTCAGGGTCGGAAATCCATATAATTTTCGTGATTACCACGATATTGCCATGATCGTGGGAGATACGAAAGAATGTTGCTGCGATCACTGGAGACGACCAAGAAGTTTCTACGGCGTAATCCATTTCAAGAGCCAATATTATTAGTTTCACTGACTGAAATTTTCTCTGTAACCATTAGGCGCACCATAACGCTTCAATATACTAAATTATTTGTTTTTTTAAGCTCTACAAAATGGTTTGGAAAGAAATTGTGAAACTTTGTGTTTTTAGGATCAAAAATGGGAAAAACCTATTTTTACCCCATAAACCCCCGTTCCATCGTCCGATCATGCTTGTTCGCAAACTCGTTCGAATAAATGTAGTTTACACGTTTGTACCAAATTTCATGAAAATTGGATCATTTTTGCTGGAGTTATCGTGCTAACGGACATATATATGAATTTGAACGGATGGTGTTTTTTGCCTCTAGGGACCTCAAAATGAAAAAGTAAATCGGTCCCTAGTCCAGGTCTTACCATGAGTACTGCGGTAATAGCTTATTCCCTATATGGGAAATTCGCTAATAACACCTAGACAACCACGAGAGGCTGGGATGCTGGAACCATAGCACGTAGTGGTTGTTGTTATTGCATGTTAATACATACCAGTCTGGTTCCGCGATCCCAACGTTTCAATTAACCCGCTGTCAACGCTTGGCCTAGCCGTTGCCACTGGGGCCGTACAACGAGGAGCTCTCTTCTAGTTTACAAATTGAATCTCAGATATTCATGAAACAATCATGGAGAATAACCCAACAATTACAACAACTTGTAATTTCCCTACACAGCGTAGACAGGAGCTTGGCAGTCGAGGATTGCAGTGTAACGATAATTATAGCTTGTTTAGGTTCAAGTGTGGTGAAACTACCGGTTGAGCGTTATGAAAAATGAACAAGTCTTTGTGTGGATGATGTTTGTTTCAATCTACGGTAGAGGTTAGTGAATTATCTGACTATATCATTGCATTTAGATACTGAAAGTAGGTTTCTCAACTTGTTAGGTGTGAATCATGTTTTTAAGGATAAAAGAAAGAGATATATCGTGTTATTTACCATTTTGAAATTGTATTAGAGGATAAGCAATCCTTTACACAAAAATAGTTTTAATTTGTTTTTGACTATCATAAATTTAAAAGTATGCCTAAACATCAAAACGCACTCTGAACATTAAGGCTGTTGGTTTCAAAATCATTTTTTCACATCTATAATCATTATCTACAAGGGGGTGTCTCATATTTTAAGTGATCTAATGAAAGGCAGCTGGTTCAAACTTGTACAGGAACCTCCAAGACCGTCACATAAACAAATAATCATTAAAACGCATTTAAATTGTAAGAGGATTGCACTAGTGTCATTTCATTGTATGGTAGCATCATTTCAGTTGTAATCATATTCAGTAAAATTCCTCCTCTTAGGATATACAAACATTATGCCTATGTGAAAAACCTGACATTTTAATGCAAGCTCTTTCTTTCTGGGTAAAATGCCCTCGAATTAAATCAGCAACAGAATCTTCACAGTCTAGTCGTACATGTATGGTAGTTACACTTAACAAGCCTCTAACATTCTTAATGCTATTATTCCTTGGCATAGTTCACTGTTCTCATACAATATCCAAGCAAACCCTGTGACTTTCATATCTTTAAGGAAGGCTACCATATGTGTAAGGTATCTTCCGGAACCCTTACAAGTCGACACCGCGAGCATATCAGCAGTTTCATGCAAATAAGTCGATCAGCTGTTAGTTATCAGGCCAGCCCCCGGCGCCGTCTATCTCTATATCAATACACAAAATTACCCCACGATATCTCCGTCAATAAAACATGTGATATCTTAATTATCAGCGAGCGTTCCCTAAGCAGCAATGTTTAGCGCGTGTTGATTTATTTAATTGCGCCAAAACAGCCGCCGGGCCCGCCAAATCGGTAAAAACGAGCGTTGATTTAGGAAGTCGGCTTGAGCGATGTTAATGGCCGACAAATCGAGTTCTAGATTTGAATTTAGATTCGTTCTTATTTGCATAAACGGTTTCATGTGTGAATTAGAAAGGACGGTTTTTACCGGTCTTTAGCTAGACAGATAAGACTGACTAATTTATGAATAGTTTGGTTCTGTATGAAGACGGAAGATCTGGGATAGTGAGACTTCCCTAGAGGTTTGGAATGCAGTTTTAACAACTTAATTAATTAATTCCCTAGAATGGATGTAAATATATATGTTTAGGCAAATCTTGGGTTATTTGTTTTATCAATAACTAGCTGTAACCCGCGGACTTTGCCCCGTTTAACTTCTTAATTTTCAAGATTATCTCGTTCGCATGGCTCAATCACGTCCTGGTTGAAGTTTGTTCGCTACGCTCACTCACCTTTAGGTTGGAGCTCGTTCGCTCCGCTCACTCACCTTTAGGTTGGAGCTCGTTCGCTACGCTCACTCACCTTTAGGTTGGAGCTCGTTCGCTGCGCTCACTTGCCTTCAGGTTAGCTCGTTCGCTACGCTAACTCGCCTCCAGGTTGAAGTTCGTTCGCTACGCTCACTCACCTTTTGGTTGCAAATTAGCTGTTGTCATAAATGTAAAAGAAATAATAGTGCTGCACCCTGTTGGTAATCCTTGTAACTTTAATGCTATTGAACATCATAGAACAGAACCAACTTGTTTAATTGAAACAGCTGTTAAGATTCAATAATTCCATTTCTCATAAGGTTAACATGGGAAACTCCAGAGCCACTGGGGCGGAGCCCGAAAGGATTTTAGAATATGCCTATATGTTAATCGGGAATGTGAGCTATCATCATGCCAAATTTCAGCCCAATCCGACCAGTATTTTTCGAGTTTACTTTTCCCATACACACATACACACATACAGCAACCACCTCTTTTTTATAATAGTATAGATCACTAAGAATTATGATCAACGGGTGTCATATTAGTTATGCTAGTTGTTGAAGACATCATAAATGCAACAATTTCACGTTATTACGTAGCATCGGATATGATTACCCATTTCATAAGACTGCTTACAACAAAATATTATGTTTAAAATAACTTTTCATTTATTTAGGTATAATGGGTATATTGTGGAACTAGAAATGGGAGTGGTAGCTGAAATTAAGCTTAGTAATTATATTGCAGTTGTTCATATGCAATACTTCGGTTGTTAAACAGAACAATTCTAATTTAAATGTAAATCATAACACGTCACTCCTGTTCTTGGGATTGGTCTATAATCAAACCGGATTATAATTATACGTAAATAAATTAATCAGAAAAAAGGTTTATAGTAATATTGTGGTTAGTAGCCAATGCTTATTATAACACCTTTAGTGTGTCATTCTTCTCATATCTTCTCATATCACTCATTAACATTATCGCCAGTAGTTTTGTTTTTATTATTTGAGGAACACAAGGCACGCTCGATGCAGCTCGATGCAGCTCGTAACAGCAACAAGCTTCTACAATCATGCTGTTTTGGACAACGTGGAGTTTTACAGTAACGTTCTTTAAGTTAACTTTAAGTTCTTAAAGAGTTAAGTTTAGTAGAGTGTTAAGTTTAAGTTTCTTTAAGTTCTTTAAGTTGTGTTAACTACTCAAAGCTTAACTT